ATTGTTGGGGTATACCCGTGTCTGCATGGCGTGCGGTCTGCTCGAGTAAAACCTGTGCGCCTTTTGTCCGATCGATGGCTCTAACTAGCTGACATGCAACCGCTCGACTGCTTGCTAAGGAGCCTCAGGCAGGCCATCAGGCATCGTAGTACTCGTTGTAGTGGTGCTTGTTCTTGTGCTGGTCCTTGTCATTGTGGTGCTTGTGGAAGACGTGTTCAGGCTGGTGCTGGTGGTGCTGGTCGTGTTGCTGACGTTGCTCTCGTTCTCCTCTTCGTCTGCCATCCTGGTAGAGGTGCTTGAGCTGGTCTCCACGCTCGATGGTGACACAGGGCCTCCAAAGCACTGCAAACGCCGCCGACAATTACTTCATGCCGGAAAAAAACTCCGCACTCATCGGAAGACTCTGACAGCACACCCTTCGAAACAGGCCTACTGGGGCTTAGCACATCCCAAGGCAGGAGCTGTCATGGCTGGTGAACTTCTAGAAACTGGCAAAACGACAAACAAACACCTACCTGTTTCTGCGAAGCATGGCAAACCAGCCACGCGTTTGCTGAATTGAGGAGCGAAATCAGTGGTTGAATCCGCTGAATCGCGCGGCTACAGCACGTCATGTCAAGAGGCACTCTCAATGAGTCGTCCTACTTCCTGAAACTCTGTTCATGTTGTTGATCTTAAGTCCAAGGTAAGCCTGAAGCTTGAATAGAGTGTGCGTAGATTCATCTTCTATTTGATCGGGTAAAGTAAACAAAGCCGACAACATCAGGCTTATTCTCATGTCCATCACCACTCGAAAAAGTAAGACCAGCTGTTCAAAGTTAAAGATCATCTTGACCCAGGATGGATCAGCTTCTTTTGCGACGTAGGGGGTATCAACTGTTTGGGGCAAACCCCGGGCAACAGACATCTGGCTACACGTTGCTAAAACGTCTCGCCTGGGAAGGTGAAGCCGTCCGCCAGGAGCAATTGGAGCTCCCCGCCTCTGCGAGGGAGAAATCCAGACCCTCCCATGCACATGGAACACTGGGGGGGAAAAGAACCTCTCAGGTCTGCGTTCTTCATGCTGACCTTTTTTCCTTCAGCCGAAAAGCCCAAAGGGTCCCTGACTGGGGGGCCTGGAAACTAGTTGGTCACAACAAGGAACCCTCTTATGCTTTCCATGTTAGTGGAAGGGCGGGTGCTTTCATGTTTATCACACCGCAAGGGATACTCAAAGGGGGCACTTGACAGGCCTGCATTATGCATCTCGTCCTTTGGTCGATGAAAAACGAGCGGAATCAAGTCCCAAGCAGAGTGCCAAGAACAAGAACATCCCTATCAGAGTCGTCCCTGTTCACTGCCAAGTACCGGAAAACATCCAGTGATGTGGCTGTTTGCCACACAGAGCCACCCAGGCAAGACCATGAGCATGTTCTGGCCAAATATGACATCTTGCGGGCATTAACACGGTCACACATGTTGTGGATTTGCGCCATCACTTCAGAGGCTTCACAGTATATCAAAGAATCCCTGCCCGCTCCGAATAGCCCTGCCTGCCGGCAAATTGGTGCTGAGCTTGAAGTGTACTGTCACGTTGTTCTCCTCTTCGCCACCTGCCGGGCACAGTCTCACAAGGGGAAGGCGCCAGAAACAGCTCCATTTTTAGAGTGAACAGCTAGTCATGCTCCGGTTTTAAGTCGATGCTGGATGGTACCAAAGGACGACAAGGGTATGGCGTGATTTGAGGGTCCCCCTTTTTTCGGCCGGCTTTAAAGAGACGCCAGCAGATACCGCCACTTTGGAGGTTCCAGACTTTCAGACAAAGCCAGCACCAAGCGGTCGATCAAGCAGAATTCAGCCCATGCAAACCTCAGCAGTTGACCGCAGGCTTTCCGGGGAACTCAAAGCCAAGAAAGAAATGAGCGAATGATCACAGACTCTGACGTCAAAGGCTCAAACAAGTCAAGCCCGCTTCAAAAGGCTGAGCCGATGGAGGAAGAGTAAGCAAACGCCTAGTAAGGGACATGGCAAAATTGGCAAACAAAAACGCAACGGGCCTAAAACTTCAGTGGCCTTCTTAATTGCAGCAAAGCCAGTCGTTACTCGCCTACACTCAGTGCCTGCAACTCAATGGAGACTCAAACTATGATATCATGACATGTTGCGGTCGCATACTTTCATACGGCTAGCTACGTGTGCTTGCCGCAGGCATTCTCTTTTGGTTTGTAGAAGACGGTTGCCTCGGCTACCTATTTTAAAAGGAACGCTGGCGCGGGTCTTGTCCAGCCTATGGAAAGCAAGGGGTTCGAAGCCTCCAGGGACCCTTGCAAGTCCTCAGTTCGCAAAGCCGGGAGCAGAAAACAAACCTACGAAACTGGGAGAATGCTCAATGAACAAAGCCGGTGTCAAAGTATTGAGCGGGCGCAGCGAATCCATAGAAGAGCAAAGTTACGTGGAGTGTTCAGCGTCGGCATGTTTTTCCTCGGGGCATGTTGGAAGAATTGATTTCCTTGATAAGCATGGCATTCCCTTGGGTTGGCACACCAAACTTTTCTCCCATTCCTGGTTTCTAGCTTAGTTTGCAAGATGAATAGCTCCGAGCCATCCCTTCCGGGCTGAATCAGCTCCAAGAGAATCTCCAAAATACATGGGGTCTGTGAGAATTCCCGTAGTGGAGCCTGGAACTAATGCTTCTCACCGAGCTGATGTCATGACCTGCTGGTGTTTGTCCAGGTCCCGACGTGCTGATGCATGTCAACGGGAAATGAAGTGAGCACTAACAAAACTGTCGTGGCAGAGCCAAGATGAAAGCCACCATTCGGGAAGGGCGGTGGGTGAGTTCCAGCGGAAACCCGCTAGTGCGAGGGGAAGATCCTGCTGGGTTTCATTGGGTCCATTTGAAAGGAAGACAAAGGACGCGTCTGGGAAACCGGGCTGTGAGCAACCCGTCCAGAGCGTTGGACCGTGCCAAGGTGCCCCCACCAGCTCGTACGCCTGCAGGTCGCTCTGCTGCGCCAGGATCGCCCAATCCGAGCCCAAGACGCTCAAAGCCTCACGACGGCTTTGAGAGGAGTCACGCGCGAAAGGTAAGCTTTTGGAAATGTGAAGAGGGAATAGGGTTGAAGTGAGGAGCCAAGGCAAGCAGAACGGAGGGGCATGTGTGGCAGAACAAAGCATCTGCCTTTCGTGGCAGCTCTCTCAATGGTAAGGTCATTGCAGAAAGTGTTCTACTATCTTGGTTGTATGGGGAATACATGCGATTCCATTTTAGAGCATGTCATGTCCTTGCCCCCCTTGCATATGTGTTGTCAAAGGGCAGCAGAGGCCTAGCTTCTTGGAGCTAGGTGTGACAGAAACAACATAAGAAACTGCTCTGGTTGCAGAATCCTTGTTAGGAAGCTGCTAACAAAGGCCCTTTCGTACCCCGAAGATGAAGTGGCTTGGACAGCTCCAATTGGCCTTCGGCACGAAAGTCCAGCCAGCTCCCCTTGACCTGAAACCGAAACCCCTTCGCTTCTCGGACCCGGCCGGGTCTTGGCGCCGATCCAAGGAGCCCAGGTCTCGATGCCCCTGGGCCGGTGATCCGGATGCTGCACCGCCACCCGGAACCTGGGCGCGGACATTCAGTCGGTCAGTGCCACCCAGCTACCACGGGGGCTTTGACTGACAGTCGATGGGGCGCTGCCTGCTTGCGCTCCAGCCCTCATGTTTCCAGGTGCTTCGTTCTTAACAGGAAAATGCGCAGAACAAGTGAATCTACATCTGGTCTCAACAGAGCACCCACGTCTCTGCATGCACATGCCGATGGCGGCCCCACCAAAAAGAACCACAAGAGGGAGCCATGGCTCATGGCGCCTCAGACGCCTCGGACGCGTCACCTCCGACCCGCGGCCAAGACACAAGTAGCGCTCTCGGAAGTCCACCACGGGCTTGGGCAGGCCCAGCCTCGCGGACCTCGGAGCCGCGGGCGGTGTTCCGCACGGGAACTGAGGCAACTCGATTTTTTGGCTTATCGCTGGAAACCCTTTTGGGCGGGGGGGGGGAGGGGTTGGTTGACTTCCTAGAGGAATTCCAGGTGGTATCTTGGAATTCATGTTCCAGACGAAGAAATGGGGCAGTGAAGAGAAAAGGGCATCTCCGTCATGGTCATGTCCATCCTGCCTGTCGGAAGTCATCTCACCGGAAACTAAGGACACCTTGCTGAGAATGAAGCGCTCCATTTTCCTCGACTTCCGTTCGACCAAGGGCAGCTGGCGCCAAGCTGCCGCAAAGCATCCTCCTCAAAGTGCATCTCGCTGTTTGGCAGCAATGCAGCCGGCTGGAACCTGGCACAAAAGATGCCGGGAGCCCAGGCCCAAGCTATACCTTGCGTCTTGCGTCGCACTGAAGATCGTCAGGGGTGGTCAGTGGAACAGCTCAATCCTACACCGGAATCAGTGATAAACAGCTTCAAAGTAGGTACCACTGCAATCGCTACCTCTGCAAAGGAGGCTTAGCAACACATTTTACTCGGCCGCCATTCATTTTAGATGTGACCATTGGCTCAACGTGGCATTGCCAACTCCATCAAACTCAGTTGTGCTTGACTTCCGCAAAGCTGAGCCATTGATTGGCTGCCCTTGGAAAAATGAGAACGGCACGCCCAAGACGAAATTATGGCAACATGTCCGTCTTATTGAGACTGGCAAGGCGCGTTTGGCCCTTGCCAACCTCGCTGAGATGGGGATCTTTTGCTTCCAACGCACCCTTTGTCCCCCCCCTAAAAAAATGCAAAAACAAAGAGCCGACAATGGCAACACAGAGAGAAACTGACCTTCGGACGCCAAAGACGAAAACCCAAAACCAAAAACCGAAGGGCAACCGGGGAGGGACGCTAAACCGTTTCGGGGGCCGGACGGGACCGATCCCAACAGCCTGGCGGCCCGGCACCAGCCCACGGCCAGCTGCCGCGGCCCGGACTCCACCGCGGCCGAGGCGGCGGGCCTCGGTCTGCACGCATGCAAAAAGGGACCGACAGCTTAGGGCCCGTTCTCTCCAACTCCATCTTGAGTTGCCTCAAAATAGACCCACAGCATGGCTGTGTAGTTCCCTTTCGCTTTCTGTGTAAAACCCAAAAGAGTGGCAGGGCTGTGAAGGCGCGGCCATCGAGGTCTTGGGAGTTGTTGAAGGAAGAATGGTCACCGTGTCTCACAGCCAAGTCTATTGCCTGCCAAAATATACATGAAGGTGCGTGTTTGTTTCCCTTCTCGAAAGGATGTTGGGGGAAAGACGACTATTCGAATAAGATGCCTGCTGGGTCAAATTACGATAATCACACAATCAGGAATTCAGGAATCCTCAGAAAGAGACCTTCATCATAGGTGAGCTCACTTTGTCCCTGTTGAGCTAACAACTCTCCAAGGGCCTTTGGGAAAAATAGATTGCCCGAGTTGGGAAGAGGAAGACCAACATGGACCCATGAACAAACCAGCGCTCCGAACAAACAAGGAGCCGTTGTCGTGAGAAGAGGTTCCACTGCCCTGAAACCTCTACCCAGCGCCGTATTCTCTTGGGTGGAAACCCGCTGATGAATTATCCAGAGGTCCCGGAAGCTTCCCCATGATGAGGAACCTAAAAGCAGCCGAAAGACGAGATCGAGGGACCCACTCGGATCCTGAAGCAGTCCCGCGAATTGCATTCTGCGAACCAGAGTGTCCTTCCCAGTTGCCACCTGATCCATTGACACAAAGCTTTTCGGGACTCAATCGTGCAAGGGCACAAGCCTCGTTATGGTGGTCACAAGTGGAATGGTCATGTTCCTGGAATTGGACCATGTCGAATCCTTTACATCACCTGGTTTATTGATGCGCCACATGTGTTCATGTAGGTGACTTCAGAGCCTCAAAGTATCGCCGGATCATAGTGACTTTCCAGGCTAACCACTTAGCTGAGAACATATGTTTGCACCTAGCAAAAGGCAAAAATAGGGGGAGGACAGAACCCGGTGGCCCTCTCATTTTTGCCACATTTTCTGTGTCACTGTGGTCCCAGTCAGTTTTGGGGCTGCTTTGCACCCCCGCACATGTTGGTTGTGGTTTCTGAATCATGTTGGTCCTAGTTTGCCCTCCCGTTGGTCTTAGTTAAAAACCTGGCCAAATCATTTTGGTCCCAGTCAACTCAACACGCCTCAACTCCACTCAATTCAACTCAACTCAACTCGGTTTTTTGTGGGGCTTGGCAGCCGGCTTCACAGCCGTCTTCTTCATATGAGCCAGCGGCAGACAAATACATGTTTCCGGAACCGGTGTGGAACGACGGAAGAGTCAGGACCTCAAACTAGGACCGAAACGTGACACAGGACCAAAACGAGCTGGTGCCGATTCCGGAAACTACGACCAAAACAACTCAGAGCAAAAAAAACAAACCGATACCGCGCAACATAACAAGTGTTTCATCAACCAGCCCCTTGCACCCACCCTTTGGGACACCTCCCCAAACACAGCTCTAAACACATGGGGCAGAACAAAAAGGCCCAAAACTGGGCCACGTGGGCTTGGGGGGCGGTGCATGTTGACAAGCCGCAGAGGCAGCACCGCGGCGCTGCTGTCGGGGCTGCAGTCCTGGCCCTCGGTGAAATGGAAACCTGGCGCCAGCTGGGAGCTCGAGGCCCAAACGCCCCAAAACCAGAGGGGTATGAGGTTATATGTATCTGAATATGTACATGCTCATATATTATATATATATATATATATATATATATTATGTATATTATATATATGTATATATTACATATAATTATATATTTCTACATCTTGCAATCCAAATACCCCTACAAAGCCACCAGGTCGCCATGAATCTTGAGAGGTTTACCCTCCAAACTGGGCACAAATCTCAGACTTTGTACACTTTTTTTCATGTCCACTCCATACGAAGTGCCCGCCGCTCCAAGAACCGAACCCTGTGCCGAGCGCCTGAGGGCGCCGTCACCTGCAGCGCGAAGATGGGCTCCGCGCCCGTGGCGGAGGCCTTAAAGGTGAAGGCGGCCACGTACTCCGACCCCAGCCTCGTGCGATATGCACGTGTCGTTTACAATATAATATGAAAGACATGTGTTATATATATATATGTACATACACGCACATATATATATATATATATATATATGCATACCGCTGTATACATTACTTTATATGCTGTATATAGTCCAGGGCCCCCTAACGCCCCCTTCCCCCAACTGTGCATGCGGCTGGTTGGAGTTAGATTGGGTCAGGGTGGGTTCTTGGGTCATGTTTTCGGGCCGGGTTGGTCTACGGTCGGCTGAGGGTTCTTAAAGGATTAAGTTGGGATGCGTTTTGAGAGCACTCTGCCCGCCCTGTGGAGTGGTTTTAAGGCTGCATTTCGTTTGGTCTTAGTTGGTTGGCTTGCTCGTCAAAGGAAGTTTAGGAGAAACTTCTGTGGTCCGGACACTAATTGAAAGCTAGCTCTCTAACAGAAGGCAAGAGAAGAATAAGCCAGCACGAGAAACAAAAAAAACAACGTGCGCACGTGCACAAGAGCCATACACAAACCAAGCCATTTTCGCCTGAGCCAAAACACAAAGAAAATAGCAGTTCATCTTGTTCCTGGCCTGTAGCTTGTTGTTGCCCAACCGCCGGAAACTTTTTGTTTGGCCGGTCGCCTCCGCGCCAGGGACGAGGAGGCCGCGCTGAAGCTGAAGGCCTCCCCACAAGATCCGCGGATCTGGGGCCACCCGCAAAGTCGCGGTCCAAACCGGCGCTTTCTTCTGGAGTCGCTGAAAAAAGTGCGCTAGCAAACCGCAAGGCGGGGAAAAAAAAGTGAACTTCGCTCTGGAAGTGGCATCCTGAAATCCTGAAAGCATGTTGTTCCACAAATCACCTCAAAGCCAGCTGCCGAGGCAAGAAATCCAATCGGCTCTAAGCTTCTCAGGTAAAGTGAGTGAACAGACTGTTCCAGTTCTCGGGAATTGTTGCGCGTGCAGAATATGGATCGTTGCATTCTGGCAGTGTCGATCGGACTCTGAATAACGGCCGGTGTTGGACCCTGCCCCTCCCTCGACATGTTATTGGCACAAACGCGCAAGGAAAGCCTCAACAATGATTTCCTGCAATGGTGAGTCGCTCAATGAGGAAAAATGGAAAAATGGACATCCACGAGGTTCAATCTGCGGCAACATGGCTCCACCCCCACCCCCGCCCGACGGCTTCCCTCTTCACCAAATCCGACCAAAAGCCCCCTGTTCAGTGCCTCCAGGCGGGGCACAGTGACGGGGGGATCGCTCAAGTCCTCCTGCAGGTAGCTCTCCACCTCAGCCAGGGGTCCCGAGCACCCCCTCTCGCCGACAAACAAATGAGGATTTGGTCCGGTTGGGATCAATTGTCAGGATGCAAGTCCGGTGTGCGGCAACGGGCATCTTAGAACAACATTGGGAACCTACCCTAGATGCTCGCCTGCTACAAGCTCAAACACATTGCGCGCTCCTGCATGACACTGGGCCCTGGGCCGCTTTCAATTTCTATCGGCAATGCCTAAGCTTCCCGGCTCGCCCAAGTGCAACGTGAACCCAATACACAACTGAGTAAACATCCTTCAGCCCTCTAAAACACTGGCTCAGACAGCCGCGTCTAGCAACACGCCACTTAAACAATGAACTCTAGTCACTAATGGGTGTTCCCCCCCCGTGCCCCCGCCCAGATTTCTCAGCAAGAAAGCAGCAGCTCCCCAAGTCCGCGCAAAACAAGCGAGATGGAGCCACTTTAGGAACCCAAAGCTCTTTCCCGCCTCTCGTCCAGTGGCGTCCACCATGCGTGCTGTCCAGCTGGAAGCTGCCAGGCGCCTGTCCATCAGTCCATCTTTCCGTTGGTCCGTCGGTGGTTTGCTCAGGCATTGAAACTTAGCGAGAGTATGCACAAAAGTGGAGATCCTTCCCCGAGCAGGCAAGCCGGCAAACACGTGAGCAAGCAACCAACCAACAAATCATCCACCCCCCACCCCCGATCCGAACCACAACCACAGCCACAACCACATCCATGATTGCAACAACAGCAGCAGCAGCACCAGCAGCAGCCGCCGCCGCTGCCGCCGCCACAGCAACAACCACAACAACAGCGACAACGCGCCAACAGCAACATCAGCAAAAGCAGCAACATCAGCAAAACCAACGGCAGCGGCGGCGGTAGGGGCAGCAGCAGCAACAACAACAGCAGCAACAACCGCAATGGCCACAACCACAGCAGCAGCAGCAGCACTTGAGGCATTCATTTTGGCAGCTGGAACGGCAAGGGTCTGTTCAAAGGCGACCCTCTCGATTCTGGTTCCCTCCAAGAGACACTTTCAAAACATCCGAGATAATCTTTAGAGAGATGCGAACATAGAACATCACCCCAAAGAAACAGAACAGTTGAGAACCTCGAAGCCGATTACTTTCAGGAACACAGTGATTGCCTGCAGTTGGCCGTCAGTTTGCCAAGGCAGGAGATGCCAAGGGGTTAAAGCACGGCTCACTGGCAATGCTCACTTGCCCAAAGGACCTTACCATGAAATATCAACAGGCACGCCAAGTTAACATGAACCCCCCACATGCCTGCCTACCTGCCAGCCTGCCTGCCTACCTGCCTGCCTGCTTGGATTGATTGATTGATTGATTGATTGATTGGTTGGTTGGTTAGTTGGTTGGTTGGTTGGTTGGTTGGTTGGTTGGCCGACCGACCGACCGACTGACGACCGACCGACCGACCGACCGACCGACTGACCGACTGACTGACCGGCGTGCTGCCGCTGCCGAAACTGTTCTGGTTTTCTGGTCGTTTCAAATCAAATCACTGCAAAGTACCCCTCTGGCGCCTAGTGCCTAACCATCGCCCGACTCGCCCAGCTGCGCACCTGCCCAGAGTTCCCGCTGGGATCTGCACAGACAGCAGCACGAAGCGGTACTCCACACCCGGCTGGACATACATACCTTCAGAGCTCATGGCTAGTTCAATGATTCTCCAGACGAATCATGTAGAACACGACAACTCATCTGGGCAGTGACCAGGCGCTTTGGCGTGCTTTGTGTTTCTTTCAAGCGATGGCAACTAGCAACGCCAAAAGCCGACATCTCGCAGCCCGAGGCACCAGGCGCCAAGCATAGCCGCGCCAATCTATCGGAGCCTTCACAGCTGGAGGCAGGCAGGTTTCGCACCTGCCGGTGACACGGCGGATGCAGCACAAGATCCTGCAGGCTGTGCTGGTGGCATTCTGTTTTCGGCTTTCCATGATTGCTTTGGCTTGTCCCTAAATGGGTGAGGTTGTAATGCCTGTTCTTTCCCGTTTTTCGGGTGCCGTTCAAATAGTGTCTTGTCCACTTACCATCATGCCAGTCATCCTCACAAAGACTCACGATCCTTCTACAATTCTACACATAGTTGCACCCCCTCAAATGGCACACATGTTTGCATGAATCTTGATGGGGGCACCCTTTGGCATACCTCAAAGGCGATTTCCGTCCGGCCAGCCCGCCCCCAACACATTCTCGCCTCGGTGTCCGCGGGCAGAGCGCCGCGCACCAAGCAAGGGGCGGAGAACGCGAAGAGGGGCGCTGCGACCTCAGCCAAGGCCAGTCGGTCGTGTGGAGACATGACGAGCGAACCGAGTGAAAAGGAATACAGAACCTAAAAGGTTTAGATTGGTTGGAGCTCCGAACATGGTTGGAGAACCTAAAAAAGGCTTATGAACATGGTTGGATTTCTCATCTTTCAAAGGCTCAGAGCTCTGAACCCTGTCAGGCTCCATATGACTCCATGAGGCTGGCAGCTCACAAAGGGCACGTGGAAAAGAGCACCCTGGTTGCCAGCCTTTAACAAGGACAGCTTGCCGGAACCAGAATCACACAAAATTGGTCAAACATAGCAGGCCAAGAGCCGTTGCCCTTCGCAAGCCTATGTTTTGTTTGATGCCTTTGTGCAGGCTCAAACAGGCGGAAAAGTGGAATAGCCACTTCATCTCAGGCTGAGTACGGAGTGTGCCGAGTGCAATCACTGACAATGACGCTTCTTGTGCGGAGTTCGCTTGCGATAAGGATTTTAGCCCTTGAAAAATCCTGGGCACTTGACATCCCGCTTGCCTCAAGCAGCAGTTAAAACAGTCGGAATGATACGCCCTTTGAGAGCAAAAAATACGAGTACCATGATGAGGCCCCCACGATTTCGATGCAGCCACGCTCGCCGTCCTGATGACAGGGTTGCACCGGGTCTCCCCGAAACATCTGAGTTAGGGCACATCCTTGGCACTCACAAGTTCAAACCGGCCAGGCTTTCACAAGGACACGCAACGAATGTCATCGTGAAGGCCAAGTAGCAGCCATTTCAAGTCCGATTCTTCCAGCGGGGCACATTCAAATCTTCTCAAATCGTCGTGAAGCGAAAGATCAAGGTGAAATCGTCCCTCTTGCAACTGCCCCCCCCCCCTCCGCCTACAGGTTGGCACTCTGGCACCCACAGGTTGGCAAACTTCAAGGGGTGTCCAAACATGGGCACCAATGGTACACAAAGGGGTCGGATTCGCATTCTGCAAATGACATTCGGCCGCCAATCCAGCAAGAGGTCATGTGAGGAAAAGCTTTCTCCATCTCAACATACTTCCAACAAGGAAGGTCAACACTCTGTTAAGAAGCTTCCTGCCCGAAACATCCCCGCGTCGCCCAAGAAAACCAAGCCGCATTTTGCCAATGCCACCCGCCTTTTGTGACCCCTTGGCCCTTGAAATGGAGCTGGCCAACTGAGCTCGCAAAACACAATACGCGCTAGCTGCAATCATTGCAATCCTCGCAAGCTATGGTCAAACTGCACGCAATTGCAGCGAATCAGGAGGGGGCATGAGGAGAGTGAGCCTCGTTCAGTTGGCGTTGAAAAAACGCTCATGGCATGACTTTGTTGCTGCAAGTGGCCAGTGCTCAGGAACCACACCTCTGCAAAATGCTTCGCTGTAAGCTCCTGAACCCAGGCCTGCTGGTCTCCCAGTGACACTCTCTGCCCAAGGGCACGAGGACTTTCCCCGCAGCTTTGTCTGGAGCGAGCTCCTTGTCTGTGCGCTGCGTGGCCATGCTTCCTCTGCCCCCCATCAAAGCTGTGTGCTGACTACTTCCGCGCACAGCGGAAGCAAACTCTTCTTGTCCAGGAATACCCTTGACTGCTGAAGCCGCTCTTGCTGAAGCCGCTCTTGCTGAAAGATGAAGCTTTGGCCCTTGAAATGGAGCTGGCCAGCTGAGCTCGCAAAAAACAACATGCGCTAACTGCAATCATTGCAATCCTCGCAAGCTATGGTCAAACTGCACGCAATTGCAGCGAATCAGGAGGGGGCATGAAGAGTGAGCCTCGTTCAGTTGGCGTTGAAAAAACGCTCATGGCATGACTTTGTTGCTGCAAGTGGCCAGTGCTCAGGAACCACACCTCTGCAAAATGCTTCGCTGTAAGCTCCTGAACCCAGGCCTGCTGGTCTCCCAGTGACACTCTCTGCCCAAGGGCACGAGGACTTTCCCCGCAGCTTTGTCAGGAGCGAGCTCCTTGTCTGTGCGCTGCGTGGCCATGCTTCCTCTGCCCCCCATCAAAGCTGCGTGCTGACTGCTTCCGCGCACAGCGAAAAACCTCTTCTTGTCCAGGAATACCCTTGACTGCTGAAGCCGCTCTTGCTGAAAGATGACGCTTTGGCCCTTGAAATGGAGCTGGCCAGCTGAGCTCGCAAAAAACAATATGCGCTAACTGCATCATTCAATCCTCGCAAGCTATGGTCAAACTGCACGCAATTGCACCGAATCAGGAGGGGGCATGAGGAGAGTGAGCCTCGTTCAGTTGGCGTTGAAAAAACGCTCATGGCATGACTTTGTTGCTGCAAGTGGCCAGTGCTCAGGAACCACACCTCTGCAAAATGCTTCGCTGTAAGCTCCTGAACCCAGGCCTGCTGGTCTCCCAGTGACACTCTCTGCCCAAGGGCACGAGGACTTTCCCCGCAGCTTTGTCAGGAGCGAGCTCCTTGTCTGTCCGCTGCGTGGCCATGCTTCCTCTGCCCCCCATCAAAGCTGCGTGCTGACTGCTTCCGCGCACAGCGAAAAACTGTTCTTGTCCAGGAATACCCTTGACTGCTGAAGCCGCTCCTGCTCAAGCCGCTCTTGCTGAAAGATGAAGCTTTGGCCCTTGAAATGGAGCTGGCCAGCTGAGCTCGCAAAAAACAACATGCGCCAACTGCAATCATTGCAATCCTCGCAAGCTATGGTCAAACTGCACGCAATTGCAGCGAATCAGGAGGGGGCATGAGGAGAGTGAGCCTCGTTCAGTTGGCGTTGAAAAAACGCTCATGGCATGACTTTGTTGCTGCAAGTGGCCAGTGCTCAGGAACCACACCTCTGCAAAATGCTTCGCTGTAAGCTCCTGAACCCAGGCCTGCTGGTCTCCCAGTGACACTCTCTGCCAAAGGGCACGAGGACTTTCCCCGCAGCTTTGTCAGGAGCGAGCTCCTTGTCTGTCCGCTGCGTGGCCATGCTTCCTCTGCCCCCCATCAAAGCTGCGTGCTGACTGCTTCCGCGCACAGCGAAAAACTGTTCTTGTCCAGGAATACCCTTGACTGCTGAAGCCGCTCTTGCTCAAGCCGCTCTTGCTGAAAAATGAAGCTTTGGCCCTTGAAATGGAGCTGGCCAGCTGAGCTCGCAAAAAACAACATGCGCTAACTGCAATCATTGCAATCCTCGCAAGCTATGGTCAAACTGCACGCAATTGCAGCGAATCAGGAGGGGGCATGAGGAGAGTGAGCCTCGTTCAGTTGGCGTTGAAAAAACGCTCATGGCATGACGTTGTTGCTGCAAGTGGCCAGTGCTCAGGAACCACACCTCTGCAAAATGCTTCGCTGTAAGCTCCTGAACCCAGGCCTGCTGGTCTCCCAGTGACACTCTCTGCCCAAGGGCACGAGGACTTTCCCCGCAGCTTTGTCAGGAGCGAGCTCCTTGTCTGTGCGCTGCGTGGCCATGCTTCCTCTGCCCCCCATCAAAGCTGCGTGCTGACTGCTTTCGCGCACAGCGAAAAACTCTTCTTGTCCAGGAAAACCCTTGACTGCTGAAGCCGCTCTTGCTCAAGCCGCTCTTGCTGCCTCCTGATGCCTCTGTCCAAAAGTTTGGCCCTTGGGTGGTCCCGTGGTAGGCGCTTCCGTGGTGGGCACTTCAGTGGTGGGTGCTCCAGTGGTGTGTGTTCTCGTGGTAGGCACTCCTTTGGTGGGTTCTGCTGTAAGGTCTCTCAGCCATCACCAGTAAGCAACGAGTGTGAGACAGGATGCCATTCTCGGCAAGGACACCACAACAATATGATATACCTGCATTGTCACCGGTCGCTGATCAACATCATAACCCGCAGTACACCTAAACCCAGCGAGCCCAGTTTCCAGCTGCAGCAGAGCCCCTTTGTGCTATGCCTGATACGGGGTAAACATGTAAGGAAAACCGATGCGGCATTTCATGGACTCCCAAACACAACCGGCCTGACTCAAGTGAACGCAAACAATTTACAAGACCAGACCCCGAACTCGCGGTCACTCGACTTGAACGCAAACCACCCAACAACTTGATGTCCAAAAACAGCAAACCACTTCACGATGGTTGGCTTCTGTTCTCCAGCTGTTGTCTTGATCGGGGATGTCCGCACCCCAAAATGGCGGCCCCCACATTCCCAACGTATTCCCCTTTGCAATCACCTCCAGAAGCTCGCTTCAAACCACCAAACCTGGGGGGTGTTCATGTTAGTCACATCCACTCTCACGTTCTATGACTTGAATTCGTCAATTTGCGGAACTGAGGTGCAATCTCCCTTGGAACCCACGAAGCTCGTGGAACCCGCGGAACAAACCCACCCATGGTCGCCAGCCACCAAACGAGAAGTCTTCCAGGAGTTCATGTTGCTCCACAGACTTAAACCCAGCAACCTGTGAAACCTTTGCAAGCATGAATCAGGAGAGTGCTCCAAAGAAAAACTCCTTCTAAACCAACCTGAAACCTGCTGTTTTCCCTCAGGGCGTTTTGGGCGTTTACTTTGCTCCTGAAAAGCGTGTATCCTCAACAAGTCACAGGTCGGCTACTCTCCTGCATTGTTAATCCCATGAAATTCAAGAAAGGTCCCTTTGTAGGCGTTTCCTCTAGAAATGATGGCTTCCTGATGAAGTGCGAATCCAGGAACCTGTCATACTGGATAACAGCAAGCTCGTCATGTACCCATGCTTTGTGGTGGCTTCTGGGGGGTTCCTGTCCACAAGGAGTTTCCCCTCACAATTGCCTAGGAGCTCCCTCTCCGGACAGTACCCCTTTTCCTGGTTTCTTCAAAGGGAAACCCAAATTGAAAATCGATACATTTTTTGGACCCATTTGTTGCTGTTGATTTTTGTTTATGCATTATTATGTTTATGTTTATTAAGTTGTCTCTCAAAACGATGCCCCAGTGCCCCTCAAAAAAAAAGAGCGCCGGCGCCCCGGCCCCGCCCCGACCAAAAGCGGCGCCTGGGAGGCCAGCAGCCGCGAGGTCTTCAGCGCCACCTGCAGCGGCGCCAGGCCGCCCTGGGCCCAGGCGCCCAGCGCCAGCGACAGCTCCTGGCGGCTTCGCGCCGAAGACGCGCGCGCGGGGCCCCCCGCGTGGTGTTGCAGGTTGGCAACACCAAAACGGTTGGTTGTGTCTCCAAATAGGGGAAATCTCAAAATGGGGTTGGTGTTTTATGGGTGGTTGTGGGGTTGGGATACCCTTGCTGGGGTCTTTTGGAGCTCGGTTCCCTTTTGGGCCTACTCGCGAAGGCTCTGTGGAAGGGAGACCTAAGGGAAAACGACCGCGATTTGGGGGGGGGGGTTCTCCATTTTAAGACACAGAACCACTTGCAGGTTCAGCTGCCAGTGTCAGGATTGCCATGGATAAGACTGCATCTGCTGCTGGCAACCACATACCACAACATTCTGACCACTGCGTACGCTGTTTGTTTGTTGCGGATGGCCTAAAAAAATCAAACTCTGTGTTTGCCACCAAGACAAAACAAATCAAGTCCAGGAACTCGGGAAGTGAGAAAAGCGGAAAATTCAGGGAATGGAAGGACTGGCGGCTTAAGCCCGCCGGCTGTGCCATGCGTCGCCAGGTTCGCGACCGCGCGGAGCTGCCGAAAAGCAGCGGCCCCGCCTGACGTTTGGGGAGGTATACAGGGCGCGAGGGGCTCTTCATTGAGTTCCATATTTTTGGACCCCTTGGATGAAAGACAAAAGGGATCAGCGAGCAGTTCGAGGGCCTTACATTTGAAAAGACCCGGCTCACAGGGCCACACTAAGTGACTCGGTGAAACGAAGAAAGAAGGCGTCACAGCCTGCGTGGCACTTCTACCATTCGCTGGGCCAATGTGCCTCGAGGCTGGCGTACCAAATCAACTGTTCGCTGTCCGAAGGTAGCAGCACCGGCACTCGGAAGCCTTGGGCAACTTGCAGCATGCAACAAGTCTGTTCATGTGCGTCAGGGTCAAAACTCCGAATGCTTCTATGAACCCCCATGTAGCGGTTGTCAAAATCACTACCACGAGGTTGATGACCATCCCTCCACACCCAACTTCAAGTGCGTTGTAAACCTTGCACGAACGACACTGACCAAGCACATGACTCACTACAGACTACCCAAAAAACATGCAAGATCAACCAGAGACGCTACAAAGCCTGCGCTGATTGGCCGGAGGTACCCTCAGTGAAACCGCACATGCCAGTTGGCAGCGCAAGCTTCGAAATGACTGCAACTGGGGCGCTGTACTCCATCTCAGCCAGCAGCACCTTGCAACGTACTTCATCGCAAGGTCTATCCGCTTACTGGATCAGTCTCAGATCTGGGGATGCAAATGATGGCAACATGGGACATCTCGTGCTCATCCTGGAAAGCTCTCTCCATTTGGTCCCCAGGAAATTGCTCAAACTCCGCCATTCCGCCAGGTAGAATTGGTGTGGCCTTTCTGCCTCCACTGACACTTCATATTCATGCCCCTTTGTTGAATATATACCAGCCATGCAGGCTAAAAAGAACGGATTAATTAGCTTGAAGCCATTTGGGGCACACCCTCGGGTATATTCTGTATTTGTCTACATATCTATATATATATATATGTATACAGGTGTTGTTCATATTTGATCGCAACTCCCAGAGCGCCCGAGGCACCGAGAAGGCCCCCAGCCGCAGCTCCAAGTAGGGGAAGGCGCCGAGAAGGCCCGACCCTGGCGCATCGGCGCATCCGGCCAGTGGCCCAAAGCTTGGGAATGAACCCAGGGGTCCCCTCAAAGGAAACCAGGGGTCATTGAGTGATTCCATTTCTCATTCCCTATCGCACCAGCAAGTGATCCGTCAAGATTGTCAGGGATCTCATCATAACGATTCAAATGATGGCCTCATCTGCGCAAGATGTCGATCTCTCAAAGCCATAGCACGAGTGAAAAGTCGGAGACGGAACATCGTCCGATCCACCGGCCGTGAGAGAATTGTCTAGGCTGCATTTGAGACAAAATGTGTGTGTGTGTGGATTGATCAAATAAAGTTCTGCACCATACTCAACAACGGCAACTAGATCGGATGACGGTGTTCCATGATTGAATCTTGACTTGACTTGAAGCCCTGAAAGGAGCAAACACCTCCTCCATCCTTTGTCCGCCGAAAAATGAACTACAACCCATGTTTCTTGACTTGACTTGAAGCTCTGAAAACAGGAGCAAACACCCTTGACCACAGCCTTGAACAACAACACCTTGCGGGACAAGCAAACAAGGGACTTGGGCGCAGCAGCGCATCTCGAGCCCAAACAGAAACCTGTTCACGGAAGCTTGGCCATCCCTTGGAAACCCGAGGGAACCGCTTCCTTCCACCCAAAGGAAGGATTCCAACGATCACCGGGGCGGAAAGGCCTCTGCAGGTGCCCTCCGCTGGCAAGGGCTCCAATGCCAAGCGGGGAACCAGCTCGAAGCGTGCGCTGGCGCCTTGGACCATTGGACCCGCAAGCGAGCTGCTTTGTTTGAAAAGAACTGTTCTAGCTAGGTCTGAGTGTAGTGTTCAAAAGGTTGACGATTAAGCTCACACCGAAGGACCAAGTGGACTTGTGAAAACGGCCCGTCCAGAAGCTCATGACTTTGGGAGGGCAGAAGGCGCCTCAATTACCAACTGAGACTCGCATTCCCGTGCATTGGCAAAAATAGATACCGCCTGGAATGTCGCCGTGGATTGTCGGGCTATTACTTGGCTCACGCAATGCTTGTTGGATGTCACGGATCCGACGATCTTGCAAGCATGGGCAGCAATTGCAGGATTGCATCGTGCGGCATGCAGGGTATGGTTGAATGCCACCAAATCGGGCCACATTATTGTATCCAAGCATAAACCCAAATACTGATCATCAAACCAGCAGCATCAAATGTGAAAAGACTATAGATGGTGTCTTGCGAGAACCATGCACCATCAAATCATATAGCTGGTAGTGTCATGCGACCAGCATGACGAAGAGACCAGATCCGGGAAAATCAAACAATTCACAAACTGAAAGCAAGGGTTGTGAAAGGAACCGACCGGGGAAGGGGCTGGCAGCCGCCTTACAAAGTTGGTACAACAATATGCTCAGACAAAGTGCCCCTCCCGTCTGGGCTGACCGGCAATCGAAGCTTAGCCCAGCAGGAGCCTGGGATTGGGGAACGGCCAGCACCCCCGAACCGTGTCCAGGCCCCCATTCAAGATGCAACTTGTGTGAGGTGATGATCCTCAAAGTGCTGGTGCCTTCGGTGGGTGGCCTCGTGAATGGAGTAACCATGCTGTACGTAGTCTGTAGTATAACCAGTAATGGCAGAAAAGGCGGGCTACCTTCCCAACGAATGCCGAAAGAAGCTGACGCAAACTCTCGTTTCACGGGGAGTCTTGAGGATGCTGCTTGTCAAAGCGAGTCAAGGGGAGGACTATAACGTGTGGCTCTTGGAAATAGCTCAGCCTCCCTCAGCAGAGCTAACTGCAGAGTTCCTTGCACAATCTTTCCACACCCTCCGTTTTGATGTCACACCGGTTTCCCCACTGACACAGCTGTGTGAGCCTCGTCTCTGGCATTGTCTGCGCAACTGCCAGGCGTGTTTTTGCTTCAGATTGATATAGCTTGGGAAGTCTGGCGTTACAAGTCTCTGAAGCGGCCGACTGCTACATACTCCTGGTCCGTGTAGTAAAATCAGAATTGGAGCATACTATATACTGGCTTTGACTCCTTCACGTTCTGTTAAGCCTGGCGACCAGTGATCCCTCAATCTCCACCCCTTCTTGCTATTGTTGGGGGACCGCTGATTGTACGGGTGTTGCCAAGATGGAACCGGAAACACAAAAACCAGCCGAAATGAAAACGAATGAGCATTGATGTTCAGAGACAACCCCCTATTCAAGCGGAATTTTCACCACTCGTGCGCAGAGACTAGGCCCAAAGCACCCCGTGGCAATGGCTGGAATACCAAGGAGCATACAGCCGCAAGCGCGGCGTGGTCGTTCCCCCCAATTCCTCAGCACAAGTGCATGGGACATGCACATGCACTCAAGCTACCCTCGAAAAGGCCTCGATGTTTGACGCATACCCACCATTCCCCAGCTACATTCCTCCACACTCCCGCTAAGATTGTAAGTCTACTCATGCTAGTTGAGTGGCCACTCATGAAGGACCGTTGATTCACTTGCAACACTCCGGGAATCCTCTCTGCCTCGTTGCCCGACCTGAACGCACTCCAGCCACGGAACCTGTGCCACCGCCAGCGTCACCTCCAAAAGCGCGGGGCCTCACAGCATGGCGAACCATGCAATTTGAGGCACAGCATCCAGCATGCCAATGCCCTGCCTGCTGGCAACGGTGCCAGGGCCAGAGACACGAAGTCCAAAGAGAAGTTGAAGCCCTGGGGCCACACCGGGTACCTCGCACACGACGCAGTCTGAACACCAAACCAGGCACTCTAACTCGCGTTGGTTGCAGAAGATGCGATCACCATGGAGAGCTACTATTGCATCACAAGCAGCAGCCTGACATGCAACAAGCACAACAACTTACGACCAAAACAACTAGAACACACATCATTAACTTGAAGGATCGTGCAAATAATAAACTTCTCCACCTCCCACAGCATTAAACATATCCTTAAGGCGCTGGCAAGGTGCCCTGCTGATTGAAAGAGTGGTCTCTCCAACCGCATGGCTAAAGGAGACTCAACCACCAACTTGACGACCACCCCTGGTTGCCATCTGAAGGGGGTCCGTCCACACCGTCAGGTGCCGTCCGCAATAAGCTCTAAATGCGGTGCCAAGAGGCCCGGGAATCCAGCGTGCGGTCGCAAGGCTGCGAGTGTCATCCTCAAAACCTGAGGACAACCCACAGCTTGCCCAAGAGGGGTTGCTACCCCCGTTGGGACCTTTTTCAGACTCACACACACACACACTCATGGCCGGGCGATTTCCTTGGCCAAGGCGAGTGAGTCGCCTTGCTTCGGCCAGGTCGCTGATGCGCCACCAAGGCAAGTCCCCGGACATGTTGGCCTCGCGCACCGGCCGCAGCACCTGCCAAGTCACGGGCATGGCAGTCACACAATTGGTCTTTAACAGATGAAGGCGCTTGTAATGAATTGAAAGCGCAGGAATCCTTCTGATGTGACTTGAAAACTGGTGATATTTGTCAGTCTTATTGGCGGACAGCCGTGAGGCGAATCTCGTATGCAGCAGAGCCAGCCCCATCACTTTGTAAGGGGCAGGCTCACCCTTGATCACCCGAAGCAGACTTTGCATCCTGTCCATGCATCGGTATGTCTGAGAAAGAGCGCGTGAAGCATTTACAAGCAACATACCCAAATCGTACTCCAACGTTAAGCCAAGCGCCACTTGACCAGCTCAAAGCCAAGACTGCCATAAGTAACAGGAAGCACATCTGCTTGAAACCAAGTGTCAACTCCAGGGTGTGTTCAGAGCAAGTGTTTGCCCGGATTTACTTTGTCGGATGCGCATTGCAAATGTGGCTTGACATGTGAGTCGGCGTTGACTTGTTCGTTGTGTGTGTGTGTGGGTGTGTGTCATTGTTTGTGTCGGGCGAGCCAGAGTAGTACTGGGATTGGTTGTTAGCTTCAGGTCAATATATTTTCGTGTTTGTTATGTTTACAGCTAACAAGCCACCATTTGGCCACATCTGCAGGCACAAGGGTTTGGTTCTGCTGAGACAAATCTTCGCCTCTGCGAACCACGACCACCATTTGCAGCTTTCTATTCAAACTTGCCAAGGCAACTTCGTCTGAATAAATTCCCGAGCCCGCCGGTTGCCTGTGTGTGTGTGGGTGTTCTACTATGTGAATAGAAACATCACAAGGCACAGCATGGGTCATCGCATGCTTTGCACAACCACTGACGGTGCCTCTTCAGCTGCTTCATCCGGCAGCCAAGAGCCTCGCAGCCAGGCTGGCCCGCAACGTGTCCAAGAGCCGTGCGGAGTTGGCTCTTTCGACCTAACCCCGTTGTTTTGACCGGAAGTTCAGTTTAAGTGCGCCTGATCTTGTCGTGGGTGAAGCCTCGCAGTCCATTCATCGATTCAAGCTATTCTTACTTCAAGTTGGTACGTTCATCCGTAGTACAAGCAAAAGTTGTCGCTTATCCAGGATGGGATTGACGAAGACACAAAAGCAACGCGTGTTGAAAGCGCCGCGTTAAGTTTTGCAGGGGCCCATGATGCGGGGCAAGAAATCAAATGCTCTGTGGAAAGCAAATCTCTGAAATCCTGCTTGACCAACTCGAGCCACGAAGCGCTATGCATCCAATGGGAATCCCGTTGCTGCGCTTCAACTAGACCTGGCGATTTGGAAAAAACAGCCTTGCGGTACAAGCACAGGTTAACATATCCAAAAGGGAGCCCGTCATGCAGAGGCTCGGCCAACTCGGCCTGGCAGGTGTTGCACTTCCAAGTTCAGCTGGTAGGTGGTCCATGCGGCAAAGTCCTCACACGTGTGCGGGTTTGGCGGGCCCAGAAAGGTTTGGTCAGTGCATGCCTTTTGCTGGATGCACCCACTCTCCTGCCACTAGCATCCAAAAACATTGTGGGCCGTGACCTTGCCAATTGTGGGCACCTGCAAATCAAGTCTCACAACACGGACTCTATTGTTGTGTGGGAGGGTGTGACATCTATCAGTCGCACCAGCAAATCAAATCTCAAACACGAGGGGATGACCAAACGAATCGTGGGATCTATCACCCAAGACCCCAATCCCCCCCCCCCGTCGCAGCCCGCGTCCGAACCGAACCGCCGACCCGCGACACCGGCGGTCCGCCCACAGCTGCACAGAGCTCAGCGCGGCGGCGCACCGCGGAGCCAGGCTCGGCGCCAGCGCCCCGCACGCGCTCAGCTGCAGGCGCCGGCAGGTGAGGACTCGGAGCGGGGGACGGTTGGAAAGCGGGGACGGGCCCTTGGCGCGCGAAAATTGAGGTGTTTTTTGGTTGGAAATTGATTTTACATGGTCCTGGCAAATGGCTT